GCTGAAGAATAAAGCCAGTCATGCAAAACATTGACTTTTAACCTCATTAGAATTCTATAAACTCTGATTTTGGCTTATATAATAGCATATATTTCCAGTTTTCTTATCACAAAATATAGAAGGAGGATTAAAGTGTTAAAGTTGAGAAACCTCTTAAAGGAAAAATATCAGACTTACCAAGAGCAGAACAGCATAGAAACAAGCCTCAACCAGGCAAATGTCCATGATCTTCTCTGTTAAGCACCTTCCTGATACACAAAACTCTCAGCCAGAAGAAGTATGTGGTTTTCTGACTGTTAGAATCTAATGTGCATAACTTAAAATATAAGGACAATGTCACATATGAAGACAGGTGATTAAAAAAACAACAAAAGTCAACAATTATAAGATATAAAAACTTACTTCAAGTGATCAGTAAGGTTCAGGCTATATATCTCTGGTAGAATAATCACTTATTTAAAGATGGTATAAGCAAGGCTGTGGTCTGTCTCTCTGTAAGTTTCCCCTCAGCTCAGCATAGGATATGTTTGGAAAAGATGTTTGGGAATCCCCGTCATTTGACATCACTCGTGACGCAGGAGAGGTTCCAAACCTGACCAGTGAATAGAAGCCCCTCACCTGAACACCTGACGTCACATCTTGCCTTCTTAAATTCCCTCTGGGGAACCCACTTGGCTTGTCTGGAGGGTAAGAGGAGGGAGGGGAATTAAAATGAATGAATAAGACCTTTGTTAAGAGACATTTAAAAGAAAGCTATTGTTTTTGTTGGAAAGAGTTTCCAGGCTGGAATGAAATCTTGAATATTACTACCGCACCCATCCTGCAGAAGGTAAGACTTAGTTGTGAATTATGCAAGGATTACTAATAAGTCATATCAAACTATGTAATAGTGATACAGTTTTTGACCACTTGGTGGCAGTATGAACACACACGCACACGCAAAGCGATCAATTTAAAGCCCATTCTTGTTCAAGCCGTTTCACCGGCATGGCAGGATATTATGGAATAAAAAAATATATGATCATTTATGGGGAAAAAAGACAATATTGACATATACAGATTATTTAAATTGTTTAGGCTTGAAGGAAAGCTGTACTGTGAACTTCACGTGTGTCTGCCTGAGCACACGTCACACAGAAAAGCTAATTAGGTTTGTTTGAAGAGTTATCACTACAAGAGAATTGTAAAGTACACGTACAATAACATCAAACACACATTTATGCACGGGCACACAGATACACACACGGACATACTCACATAATTAACCTGGGAATATTCTGGTTGTACAAGAAATTAAAAATGACAACATATATAAATCTATAAAACATATTGCGTTAGAAACACACTGTCCGTGTCCATCAGAACAGTTCACAGAAGTATTCACTCACATGTGGAAATCCGTTTATGAAGGAAATAAAATTATTATGTATTTAGACAGAAGGAATCTCCTCAGCTTCACACAAAACAAGAATGTTAAATGAAAACAGTTCCCGACTTTCTTTTTGACCTCTTTTTGTCAGCATATCACTTAAACTCGGTGCTCATATCGAACAAACGGGAAATAAATGTGCTTAGAAAAAACACTTATTTTGCACACGTTTCATGTGGGCATGGGTTTTAAAGTGCTTTCTTTGGTAGTCGTGTTTATTGCCTGCGATTAATCAGTAACTCGGCGAAATACGGGGAATTGGGTGTGGAGGTCTAATGGAGTCAAAAGTGACGCTGCCCAGCAGTCTGAGGGCTCTGCTTGCTTAAAACTAGTTCATCTTTAGGTTTCAACCACGTCAAGGAGACCATGGTAAGTTTTCCGTCACACATGTATGTTTATTGGTAGGATTTGTTTTGTTTATTTTGGGAGTTTTTGTTTTTAAAGGTGAATGAATGAATGTTACTGTCGACCTTCAGCAGATGACCGCTTGACTCGCACAGAAACCGTTTTCGTCTGCTGCCATGAACTCAATCAAAAGTCTGTCTTCTCTGGTCATCTGTTTCTGTATATTTATGTCAGCTTGTCCTCTGGGTTCAAGTAAGAGAAAAAATATATTCTAAATATTGTATATTGTGTCATAAAATAATATGTGTATAAACAAAATAATTTAAAAAATGTATTTCGTCTTTTGGGAAAGTTAAAACTTAAATAAAAATTAACTGTGAGTGATTTGGGGGGATTTACTTTACTATATATCCTCTGTATTCTGTCTTTTTATATTTTTTCCATCTCTGTAATTTCTTCCCACGTTTTAATCTCAGCAGCCTTTGCTAATACCAGCCTGTGGGGTAAGAAGGTGGTGTTTCAAGTCCAACCATGTTTGTGGCAGTTACACTCGGGGGTTCCGGTACCAGCCCTCAGGGAGCTGAGTGTGTGCGTGAGTTTACGTCGCACCATTTCAGCAGACTGGACAGGTTTTGAATACAAAGCTCCAGGAAACAGAGAGACGGAGCTGGGTCTTGGAGGCAAAAATGGAAAACTATTCGTAAAGTTGTTCGGACATGAGTGGCAATATGAAAATAATCTTACAGTGAATGAGTGGCACTCTGTCTGTCTCACCTGGTCGGGGCAAGCTCAGCGACTAAGAATCTCCATCAACAATACCTTTCTGATTGAAAAGTATCTAACAACAAGCCAGCAACTGTCCAAAAACGGCACTCTCACTCTTGGTGTGTCTCATTATGTAAACGCAAATGGTGAAATCCAACCGGAGACTGGCACTAACTTGGTAGGTGAGATAGGTCTGTTTCGGATGTGGGCCAGAGAATGGAGCCTTGAAGAACTGAAAAACCTGAACTGTACAGATGGGGATTTGGTGAGCTGGGACCTAAAGCAGTGGACCTATAGCTGCCCTCCTGAGCCCAACATCAACCTACACTGTGGTAAATACATTACGGGCTTTTATTTTTGCATTTCACAGTCATCTAGTTTGGACTATGCACAATTTTCCAGCTAACAGGGAACTCCCCAGCAACATAAGCAAGCCTAAAATTCATATTCTGAAATATATTCTTATAAAACATGACTCACAAGTTTAAAGATAATGTTTTCTCAGTGTAACTTTCTTAAGATATTTTCAGTCTTGAGATGATAAAATATTTTTTGGGAAACTTTCCTCTGTGTGATTTACATTATTTCATATGCAGCACTTTGAGCTGTTGTGTTGTGGAGATTTTTGGAGTAAGACATTATGGAAAAATATATCAGTCTGCCCATCTGTAAACTCTTAAAGTGGTGTTCAGATAGCCTTGATGATGCATTCATGGTCCTCAGTCGGTTTTGGTGTCTTAGGCTGAAATGTCAAAGATGGCATTTATTTATTCTGGGACTTTTCACCTTACAAGATAAAAATTCCAGTTTTTCACCTGCTTGCCAGTTAAAGATTAGTCTCTGTGGAGTTTGTTTGTTTTCCTAAGCCTGCATGGGTTCTTTCCAGGTGCTCTGGCTTCCTCCCACATTCCAAAGACATGCATGTTGGGTTAATTTTAAAATGGCTATTGGTGCATGTGAGCTCAAATCTTTGTCCGTCTCTCTATGTTAGAGTTGTGATAGCATCGTGTGCAGGATGTACCGCCGCTCTCACTCAAAATCTGCCAGGCTAGGCTGGGTCCTTATAGCAAATATGAAAATGGGTGGATGATATTCCAAATGTTGGATATTTTAAATAAAGTTTAGTAAACAGAAAATTACCAACAAGGCTTTGTGAGATTGCTCATGACAAAGTTAATCACAGTTTGAACTTATTAAAAATGTTTTGTCCTAAGATTCTGCTATTGTTGAAATGTTTTGATAAGTCTTAAACTAACTTACATAACACTACATTAAAAATTATGTATTATTTAAATGAGAGGGGGGATAATGTTGCAGTTAGTAAACTATTTAAGATAAAAACAGTTCATTTGTTCTTCTTTCTATATTTTTCAGCATGGTCATTCTACAAAGCCAAAATGGAGACATGGATATTTAACACGTTAAACCCGGGAAATCTTTTGTTGTCACCGGAGGAAATCTCTAAAATCTGGGTAAGAAAAACGTGCCTGCAAATACCCAGATTTGTCTATCACAGTAATTGACCGTCTCTGTCCTCTTTTACCAGTTGGAAAGCATTTTCCACAAAAACACATCCATCCATAGCATCTTAGTGTCATCCCCATGGTAAGATGTTTTTTCAAAGCTAATCTTTCTATCAGTACACCTAAAAACGCAGAACGCAAAACTACTAAATAAATAAATGACATACAAGTATCTCAAATTTGTGTTTGAGCATGGCCCTTTAGTTTAATGATAGAAATGCTTTCATTCTAAATGTTTGCTAATTATAACAGCTGTTCTTGACTCTCCTGTCTCTAATTTCTGTTCTCTCTGTTCCCATCCAGCAGTAGCTGCCCCATAGTTAATGATTCTGCTACTCTAGACAAAGACCAAACTCAGGTACAATTTGATTTTCAGTGGAAAGAAACAGTAATG